GGAGTCAGTGTACTTTGCCATAATAGGGTGTCCATGTTATACTGTGACATCACAAGGTATACACCATGGATTTACCTTCTGTATAACCTTGGAGCAATGCTAGGGAGTCAGTGTACTTTGCCATAATAGGGTGTCCATGTTATACTGTGACATCACAAGGTATACACCATGGATTTACCTTCTGTATAACCTTGGAGCAAGGCTAGGAGTCAGTGTACTTTGCCATAATATCACAAGGTATACACCTTGGATCTACCTTCTGTATGACCTTGGGGCAAGGCTAGGAGTCAGTGTACTTTGCCATAATATCACAAGGTATACACCCTGGCAAGGCTCGGTGTCAGTGTACTTTGCCATAATAGGGTGTCCATGTTATACTGTGACATCACAAGGTATACACCATGGATCTACCTTCTGTATAACCTTGGAGCAACGCTTGGAGTCAGTGCACTTTGCCATAATATCACAAGGTATACACCATGGATTTACCTTCTGTATGACCTTGGAGCAAGGCTCGGTGTCAGTGTACTTTGCCATAATATCACAAGGTATACACCATGGATCTACCTTCTGTATGACCTTGGAGCAAGGCTAGGAGTCAGTGTACTTTGCCATAATGGGGTGTCCATGTTAAACTGTGACATCACAAGGTATACACCATGGATTTACCTTCTGTATAACCTTGGAGCAAGGCTCGGTGTCAGTGTACTTTGCCATAATATCACAAGGTATACACCATGGATCTACCTTCTGTATGACCTTGGAGCAAGGCTAGGAGTCAGTGTACTTTGCCATAATGGGGTGTCCATGTTAAACTGTGACATCACAAGGTATACACCATGGATTTACCTTCTGTATGACCTTGGAGCAAGGCTCGGTGTCAGTGTACTTTGCCATAATAGGGTGTCCATGTTATACTGTGACATCACAAGGTATACACCATGGATTTACCTTCTGTATAACCTTGGAGCAATGCTAGGAGTCAGTGTACTTTGCCATAATAGGGTGTCCATGTTATACTGTGACATCACAAGGTATACACCATGGATTTACCTTCTGTATAACCTTGGAGCAAGGCTAGGAGTCAGTGTACTTTACCATAATATCACAAGGTATAGCTAGGAGTCAGTGTACTTTGCCATAATATCACAAGGTATACACCATGGATCTACCTTCTGTATAACCTTGGAGCAACGCTTGGAGTCAGTGTACTTTGCCATAATATCACAAGGTATACACCATGGATTTACCTTCTGTATGACTGTGAGGCTTGGTGTCAGTGTATCACATAATATCACAAGGTATACACCATGGATTTACCTTCTGTATAACCTTGGAGCAACGCTAGTAGTCAGTGTACTTTGCCATAATGGGGTGTCCATGTTAAACTGTGACATCACTAGGTATACACCATGGATTTACCTTCTGTATAACCTTGGAGCAACGCTAGTAGTCAGTGTTCTTTGCCATAATGGGGTGTCCATGTTAAACTGTGACATCACTAGGTATACACCATGGATTTACCTTCTGTATAACCTTGGAGCAAGGCTAGGAGTCAGTGTACTTTGCCATAATAGGGTGTCCATGTTAAACTGTAGCTTCACAAGGTATACAAGGTGACTAGCAGTACAGCTTGCATTAGTCAACCGGGCGCACAGCTGTGCATGCAGGCCGCTCTGTAAGTGGAATAATCACGAATGTGTCATTGGAACCTTTTGCACCTCTAAAAACATCCCTCCACTTTCAAGTATTTTGGTTAAAAAATGTCAACAAAAAATGCCAAAGGTCTTGTTGCAATTCTTGTTTAACTTGTTGGAGTATAATTCTGCTGTGTCTGAACTTGGCATACCTCATATCTTCATCTGCCTGGTTCTTTACTTACCAAATATTTAGCGCCAAGGGATGTTTAAAAGGCCATTAAAATCAAGACATGAGGAAATAATACAAATGCCTTTTCGAGGTTTGGAAATGCTTGAAGAATCGATCAAACGAACATAGAAAGTGTTAATTAGAATATGTATATATTTGTTTTTTTTGTAAGCTTTGTAAGTCTTTAGTGGCAAATAGGATTGACAGATTTAATGTTATCTTGCCTATCTTTGTGGGAAAACAAGATGGCGGACCGAATGATGTGACAGGTAGCTTCTCTCTGTGTCATTGGATACTGCTAGAGATGAAGGAACATGGGGATTCTGTACCAGAGCAGGGAGATAGGACTGTTTCTTGCATACCGCAGTACTCACAGAGATGCCAACCCCAAAGTTGCAAATAGTAGTTTCAAGGATCAAAATTAGTAGTTTGACCATAAAAGTAGTAGTCAACTAAATATACAGAGAGAAAAAAAAAAAGGGATCACATGAAAGGACTTTGTATGAAAACACCATGGTCTACCATTGTTTTGTCTAAGATGACCATGGTCTACCCTGGTTTCTGGTGACCATGGTCTATAATGACCATGGTCTGCTGTGGTATAAGATGGTGACCATGGTCGACCATGGTAGACCATGGGGAAAAATGTTGGTGACTACGGTCTACCATGGTTTCTGGTGACCATGGACTATAATGACCATGGTCTGCTGTGGTATACCATGGGGAGAAATGTTGGTGACCACGGTTTAGCATGGCCAACCATGGTAATACCATGGTTTTCCGTGGTAAGCCGTGGTTGACCATGGTCAACCATGGTGCCTTTTCAGCTGGGCAGTGCAGGGGTGGTGGGGTAGCTAATGGTTTAAGCTATTTGTTATCATTGAATGTCACACTTAGCAATATTTCATCTATAGATATGGCAGTGGTCTCTGTAAATAACTGAATCTGGACCAGACAATCCAGTGATCAACAGCATGGGCATCAATCTACGCAATTGGGATCAGATGACATGTGTCAACCAAGTCAGCGAGCCTGACTACCAAATCCTGTTAGCCACCTCTTACAACAAGCATTGGTTGCTGAAGACCAATTCTAAACCAGATCTTAACAGATACACAACTTAAATAAGTCCCTGTGTTCAAACAGTGGTCACAGATATGACACTACACAGATGGCATGTGATTGCTTTACTAGCTTTTATCACATCGCTTGATCAATGAGAACACTTGGCACTATTGTCAAAATATCTCCTCCCATTTCGGTAAACTTACCCCAGATCTTTCATGATTCTGTTTAAACACTGCTCTCAACAGTATTCCAGGTATATTATGGTGGTCTGTGAAAAGTCTGGAGCAGACAATCCAGTACTGTGATTGACATCATGTACATCAGTCTAATCCGTTGGGATATGACTAAATGTTTCAAGTCCAACATTTGTTCCATTACCTGTTCTTACCAAAACTGTGGGTTACAGATGATGATTTCATATCCCAATCTTCACAGGGTACTGGTACTTACCCTCTGGGTAGGCCTGTTTGTTTTCTTTATATATGGCTTATTCTAGTTTTGTTTTCTGCATAGGATAAATGAGAGTTACCGGGTAATTTTAAACAGAGGGGATCGAGCTTGCTGATTAAGGTAGAAATAACTTTGACTATTCACTGGATTAGAACAGTTTTTTATCACAATCTAAAATTTGAAAAGCGTAGCATTCAGCTTAGCAAAATGGATACCGTTATTAATGAATAAGATTGATAAAAATGGATTTGATTTTGTCGTATTTTACACATTTTGTCCACTTATGACCAAAACATGTGACGTTGTATCATTTCACAGCAAGACACCATGACTGTCTCACAACTGTCAGAGTTCACGGAGAGAGAGTGCTTAATAAATGGCTTTATTATTATATAATGTTGATAAAAATAATGTCTTCTCAGGTTTACGAGGTTTATTGAATAATATATGCCTGGAAATGTTAACCTTTCAAACCTCTGGCTGACATTGTTGGTTCTAAATCATGCTTGTTTTTGGAACTGCAGGTTTTATTGAATGTTGCAGGATGTTTGCTTACTCAAATTTATATGGTATACCGTTACATTGAAAATTTATTAAGTTGTGGAACAGAGCAGTTTGTTTATTCATTTGTTTGTTTTATAATGCCACCCTTGGCAATATTGCACCTCTATTCTGCTGGTCTGTTGATAAGACAGGCAAGTGATTGACGTCATGAGCATCAGGCTACACAGTTAGGAAAGAATGACAGGCACCCATGAAGCTAATGAGGCTGATCCCTGATCCTGCTGGGCACCCCTTACAATCATCGTTGCTGAAGGCAAATTCCATCCCCGAACTTCAAGGGGGCTTGCAGGTATACTTGGACAAATACCACATGTAGACAGGGATAAAACTAGAATAATTATATTATGGTCTGATATTCAGTACATAATCCGCTTGTTTATTGATCAAGTACTACAGCACTGAGCTCTTTCATACTGTGAAGAAAGATGAAAGTTAAAGGTAAAAGCTGGTATACTTGGACAAATACCACATGTAGATGGGGATAAAACTAGAATAATTATATTATGGTCTGATATTCAGTACATAATCCCTTGTTTATTGTTCAAGTACTACAGCACTGTGCTCTTTCATACTGTGAAGAAAGATATAAGTTAAACTTAAAAGCTGGATAACAGAAGTTGTGAAAATAACATCCTAAATCACCCAGTACAACCTGACAATACAACATACAACACAACCTGACAATAAAACATACAACCTGACAATACAACATACAACACAAGCTTTCCTCCCCCACACTCACATATCCCCCTCCAATCCCCCCCCTACTCTACCACACACACTTTTGAAATATTCTAACCCTCTTTCATCTTAAAAAAACTGTAAAAATGTCTTCACTGTTTGTTCCAACAATATTGTTTACTGTTCACATCTACGTCTTTCCAAGGATTCTGTAAGAGACCTTCCATGTCTAGAAACTGTCTCAGACTCTTACGTAATCAAATGCAATGCACTTTTTGAGCTGTTAAAAACCCTGAACACATATCAGTAATATGGTTAATACAAAGTCATAAAATATACACAAGCATATTTTGAAGTTAATCACTTACCTTAGTTAAACCGTGTGTAAAATCCAATGACAAATTATCCTAAGTGAAACGTACAACCTCACAAAGTTTTATGTCAAATTTATAGTGTCAATTTCAAAGGAATCCGAAATCAACAAGCAACATGACGCGACTGCTATAGGTGCAGCAGCCAGCTGATTATACCACATGTGATATAGGCAATGTGGATATGTGCTACTGATATGTTACGAATGTTATCCCACTGTTTGGCAGCAAGCTTGCAATAGATTGGCTCGACTGTTTGGCGACTATTGTGCTTATAACAAAGCATAGTGCAGCTCCGTGTCAGCTGAGGCTGAAACCACTGGCCATGCAGTCCTGCCGTTACTGGAAGTCAATCCGGGATATTGACGAGCACTTGTATCGGGAGACAGCTGGTAGATGAAGGATGTGATATGTAGCAGTTGTAATTGACATTTCTGTGGCAGTGTTGTTTATGTGTTTCTTTTTGTCATGTTTAAGTCATTTTGTAAGAAGAAATTGATAACGGGCATTGTCATTGATGTTGTTGGGAGGCATGTCAAATGTGATACCCAATGTTTGAATCTTTCAATGTATTATGTTTTAGAGAAACGTCCAGATTGATGTTTAAGGGGTTTTTTCAATGCTTTTTTTAAAAAAAATTAACATTTTTTTTTAAAATATATTTTCAGACTTGAAGAATATTTATCATTTTGTTTTTATATTCATTTATAGTGAGTAAGTATGGAAGTATGCCACTATTACCAATATTTCAGCAATATTACGGCGGGGGACACCAGAAATGGGTTTCATACATTGTACCTGTGTGGGGAAACAAACAGGGGTCTTTGTTGTGACGAGTGAACGCTTTAACTACTGGTATTCCCACCGCCCCCTATATTCATTTATAAGTTGCTATAGCAACACTGGTAAATCCAGGGGGATGCAGTCATTATTTTTCAGACACGTCACATGTTAACTGCACGTTTGACCAAGACAGTTTGTGACATGGAAATTTTATGTATTCCCTTGTTCAAATTTCCCATTCCCCTTTTCCAGCATTATGCTTTCAGCTAGTGCCCTGATTTGATCTGTGGAATGGTATGGTTATAAAAATAACAATTACTGTACCCTATGAATAATTTTCAATAAAGATAATTGAACATATTGATCTACAAAAAGCAGTATCCTATAAAGGATGATGCTCAGCACTGATACAATGCTCTTATTGATTTTGTAAACATTCATACTCTCTAAGTATCATTGTTTTGTGTTAAAAAAAAATTAAAAATTCCGAGTATATGCAACCTACATTACTAAGGAAGACCTGGAGGCAAATCCTCCTTTTTGTGGTATGTTATTTTCAATGGGGATCTTACTATGGTCTTTGACATACAAAACCTATCATGAAACAGATAGTTTTTGTAAAAATATTACCATCTGATGTTTGTTAGTAAGACTGTAAGGGTTGGCGGTAGTACAGTGGCTACAACATTTCCTTATCACAACTAAGGTCTGGGTTTGATTCCCACATGTGATTATTTTGGGTGTCCCTGGCCATATCACTGTATTATTGCTTGAAGTGTTATTTAATCTGAATCACTGACCCGCTCATTGACCGACCAAAGACCCACCCACCCTCACTCACTGTGACTCACTCACTCACTCACTCACTCACTCACTCACTCACTCACTCACTCACTCACTCACTCACTCACTCACTCACTCACTCACTCACTCACTCACTCACTCACTCACTCACTCACTCACTCACTCACTCACTCACTCACTCACTCACTTATGGGATGTCATCTGGAGCATGCTGTCATATGATGTCTACATTTCCACCAAAAATATGCCATTTTAGAGACCCAACTAATTCCTACCAGAAAAAGCCCAGAGGGTATGCACTCACAAACTGCCAGTGTTAATATTAATTAGAGCAACAATACTTACTATTTATCTCACTGTGAATAGCTGCGAAATTGCTTATACAGCACAAACCACCACTCACTCACTCACTCATGTTTGACATGTTGTAAACTTCATCTGGATGATTATATTTCAACGTCATCAACACAGTACATCTGACTCAGACTCAAACCATTTCAGCCACACCTCATACATGCCTACAATGAATAAAAGTCAAATAAAAAATGAATTATTTACAACAGACTTTGTAGATCCGGGTTAGAAATGGTCTTCAGCATGGTCTTCAGCTTGTTGTAAGAGGCAACTAAAGGATTGCACGATCACGCCACTGACTCGGTTGACAAGTCATCATACCCTAATTCTGCAGATCGATGCTTATGATGCTGATCACTGGATTGTCTGGTCTAGACTCAATTATTTTCAGATTGCTGCCATATAGCTGGAATATTGCTGAGTGCAGCATTAAACAACAAACAAACAAACAAACAAACAAACCTCGCTTGTCCAATGACGTACAACACAAACACAGATACATACAGATATTGGCACCAGCATCCTCAATAAAATATTCAGAACATTATTTACAGTAAACAGTTTCAGAAAATTCCCCACTCCTCTCAGTACTCCAGCACCATGGGGTCCATCCTGTTTGAATATACATTCCAGGTAGACACGATGCTCGGAAAGAAGTAAGACTGGAATGTGAGAAATCTGGTCAACATGCTACGGAAGGGGGCAATCCATTTCTCATATTTTCCCTCCCACGACACTCTCCATATAACGTTCCTCCCCTTACAACCCTATTTCCAAATATCCAGCTAATTTGATAGAATTACCATGCTGAGCTCATGGCAGCTCGGAATTCACAAAGATTTTTACAGCAGGCTGAAGGAAAAATAGGCAGATAATCATGCTATTGTTTAGTGATCTGCCTATCCACACCGCCACCCTATAGTCTGTGGGGATGTTTTTTCAAAGCATGCCTATCCCCCTGATCTACAATGGGGTCTCACGCTGTTTCCTCCCAGCTGAATCCTCTCACTTCTCCAATGGGATGTAATAATCAGGATTTTAACCATCAGGTATTTCCCCACTGTTAACCAATCTGGGTGTTGTCCTGTTTCTTTCTTAATTGGATAATTTCTTCAAAATTGGACAATGTCATGTCTTTTTGTCTGCCAGACATATCACTAGGTTTGAGGTGTTATCTAGGTATCTCCCCTCTGTTATCCAATAGGACATTGTGATGTTTTTTTGTCTGTCCGGTATATCACCAGGTTTGAGGTGTTATCTTCTTGTTATCTCCCCTCTGTTATCCTATAGGACATTGTAATGTCTTTTTGTCTACCAGGTATATCACCAGGTTTGAGGTGTTATCTTGGTATCTTTCCTATGTTATCCAATAGGACATTGTGATGTATTTTTGTTTGCCAGGCATATCAACAGATTTGAGGTGTTATCTTCTAGTTGTCTCCCCTCTGTTATCCAATAGGGCATTGTGATGTCAGTTTGTCTGCCAGGTATATCACCAGGTGTGAGGTGTTATCTTCTTGTTATCTCCCCTCTGTTATCCAATAGGACATTGTGATGTATTGTTGTCTGCCAGATATTTCCCTGTTTTTCAATGGGATGTGAATGTGAGGTTTGTCTACCAGTTATCTACTGCTGAAAAGGGAGGGTTTTCATGTATTATCTCCCAGGTATAATTCATTGTAAAAGAAGTCATTTTGACGTTAAGAAGTCATTCTGTCTCCCAGGTATTTCCCCTGTTATCCAATGGGATGTGGAGATAAGGATATTTACAAACAGGTATTTCCCCTGTTATCCAATGGGATGTGGAGATAAGGATGTTACAAACAGGTATTCCCCCAGTTATCCAATGGGATGTGGAGATAAGGATATTTACAAACAGGTATTTCCCCAGTTATCCAATGGGATGTGGAGATAAGGATATTTACAAACAGGTATTTCCCCTGTTATCCAATGGGATGTGGAGATAAGGATATTTACAAACAGGTATTTCTCCTGTTATCCAATGGAATGTGGAGATAGGGATGTTACAAACAGGTATTCCCCCTGTTATCCAATGGGATGTGGAGATAAGGATATTTACAAACAGGTATTTACAAACCCTGTTATCCAATGGGATGTGGAGATAAGGATATTTACAAACAGGTATTTCCCCTGTTATCCAATGGGATGTGGAGATAAGGATATTTACAAACAGGTATTTCCCCTGTTATCCAATGGGATGTGGAGATAAGGATATTTACAAACAGGTATTTCCCCTGTTATCCAATGGGATGTGGAGATAAGGATGTTACAAACAGGTATTCCCCCTGTTATCCAGTGGGATGTGGAGATAAGGATATTTACAAACAGGTATTCCCCCTGTTATCCAATGGGATGTGGAGATAAGGATATTTACAAACAGGTATTTCCCCTGTTATCCAATGGGATGTGGAGATAAGGATATTTACAAACACATATTTCCCTTGTTATCCAATGGGATGTGGTGTTGCTTTGATACTGCATGATATATTCCCTTTGTTTTCTGTTGCAGAGAAAATGAAATACCAGTAGTTATACAAAGTAATTGTTTGATGGACTTGCTGGATTTCTTGACAAACATTCTCATTCCTATCTGAGAAAATATGTGGCTTGGAGAAGTGAGCAGTAAGTTGTTCTGTTCTCTGCAAATTCTTTGATAGCTGTTCTATGAATAAAGTAATCCCAAAAATATGAATCAACTATAGGCAATAGAATTGGTTGCCAAGTAATAGCCAGGTTTTTTTACCTCACAATAGATATTTGTTTCATCTGTCTATCCTTCCACGAACTCACCTGTCAATTCACTCACTCACTCACTCACCTGTTGATTTACTCACTCACTCACTCAGACAGTAGTTATTTCGATAGAAGCCACAATGTGCTTTAGCTATTTTAAGGAATCTTTAAATAAAGTCATTGAGACTGAAAAAGGTTAACAAGTAGAATCTCGCTGTATATCACGTTGTTGTGCCTTCAGCAACATTTATCTCAGACACTCCTTAAACAATGCTATGATGCTCCAACTTGTCAACAGCTCATTGGGTGTCGTGAGAGTTCTACCTCCTAACACTAACATCCTACGAGTTTCAGTGATAAAACTGTACACTTCTTCCGTGGTAAATCTTCTGTGAGTGTTAAATTACCCATTAAACTCATCACAGACAGCGTAATCACATTCAAATTCAAGGTTACTTGAGGTGAA